GCGGATTCGTCGACTGCGAACAATCAAGCGTAGTGCATCTCCCGCTCCTAGCACCGGATCCTCCCGTCCCCATAAGCAGGCCCGAGCTTCCCCGAAAGCCAAGCCCAAAACGACTCCGGTTTCTAAATCTGCTCCGCAAGCGGGATCCACTTCTGTGTCCAAGGCAGGATCTACACCCGCGCCCAAGACTTCCGTTTCTCCCTCGAAGTCAGGTGCCGGATCCAAGTCTGGATCCACCGCTAGATCCAAGTCTACCTCGGCGTCCAAGACTGGATCTACCACTACGTCCAAGTCTGGATCCGGACCCAAGACTGGGTCTACGACGTCCAAGACTGGGTCTATGGCCGTATCCAAACCGGGATCGACGTCCAAGACGGGATCCGAGCTGGCATTCCTGCCGGACCTTACCGAAGATATCAACACGACAATAGACTACACTGCGTCTAATGTTGCTGATCCTCAGTTGTCGACCGATCGCCGAGAACGTCTGGTCGCAACGCTAAAGAACCACGAGCACATCCTGATTGCTAGTGGTAACGCACTACCACCGCCAGCCTACGGCGCAGTATGCGATATCGACGTGTGCAGAGCGCTGGGCACTGATCCTGGAGGAACGTGAACAAGTGAAAGCCTGTCTGGCGTCTGGGGTGACAGCCGGGGATTCGGCCGACGGTCAGCCTTCCGTAGAACCTTTGGACACGTACACGACAACCCATGGCGGAGGCAATATTGCAAACGAAGCCTCGGTAGCGCGTACATACGAACTACTGAGGCCGGTAAACGTTGTACATACGCCAACGAGTGTTTGTGTCCAGTCAGGGGTGACCACGGAAGCGACAAGTAACAGCACTGGATTAAATGGAGTCACCTGTTTTGACGAAGCTGTCCCGGTCTTGTGTGTCACCAAATCTGCGAACGAGACATCGGTGGTTGATCCAGAGGATGCAGGCATCGCGTTGAAGGTGTTGAGTACGGCACCGAGTATTCATTGCAAGATTGGTGCGAATGCCGAGCTGTCAAGACAGCGGCAGAACGAGGAGCTGAACAAAAGTCAGCAACCCAATATGTCGGCGGCCCGCGCATTCAATATTGCGAGCGACGACTCGGCAGATGGCCTAGAGATGGGAAACCAGGATGGGAAGGAGATGGACCCAGTACCGACTGTTGAAATCAAAGCGAATACCGGTGTTGAGTCAAAGGAAGAATCTGTTGCAACTTTGGACGGAACGTACATCTCGGTTGCTCGAGTGTTAACGACCGAAGGAAATGAAGCAACGGAGGATACGAGAAATGACTTCTACGAACACCCAGCTAACAACATTGGCTTGGAAGACTACGCGAAGGAGCTGGCATTCCTGCCGGACCTTACCGAAGATATCAACACGACAATAGACTACACTGCGTCTAATGTTGCTGATCCTCAGTTGTCGACCGATCGCCGAGAACGTCTGGTCGCAACGCTAAAGAACCACGAGCACATCCTGATTGCTAGTGGTAACGCACTACCACCGCCAGCCTATGGCCCAGTATGCGATATCGACGTGTGCAGAGCGCTGGGCACCGATCCTGGAGAAACAAGAACAAGTGGAAGCCTGTCTGGCGTCTGGGGTGACAGCCGGGGATTCGGCCGACGGTCAGCCTTCCGTAGAACCTTTGGACACGTACACGACAACCCATGGCGGAGGCAATATTGCAAACGAAGCCTCGGTAGCGCGTACATACGAACTACTGAGGCCGGTAAACGTTGTACATACGCCAACGAGAGTTTGTGTCCAGTCAGGGGTGACCACGGAAGCGACAAGTAACAGCACTGGATTAAATGGAGTCACCTGTTTTGACGAAGCTGTTCCGGTCTTGTGGGTCACCAAATCTGCGAACGAGACATCGGTGGTTGATCCAGAGGATGCAGGCATCGCGTTGAAGGTGTTGAGTACGGCACCGAGTATTCATTGCAAGATTGGTGCGAATGCCGAACTGTCAAGACAGCGGCAGAACGAGGAGCTGAACAAAAGTCAGCAACCCAATATGTCGGCGGCCCGCGCATTCAATATTGCGAGCGACGACTCGGCAGATGGCCTAGAGATGGGAAACCAGGATGGGAAGGAGATGGACCCAGTACCGACTGTTGAGATCAAAGCGAATACCGGTGTTGAGTCAAAGGAAGAATCTGTAGCAACTTTGGACGGAGCGTACATCTCGGTTGCTCGAGTGTTAACGACCGAAGGAAATGAAGCAACGGAGGATACGAGAAATGACTTCTACGAACACCCAGCTAACAACATTGGCTTGGAAGACTACGCGAAGGAGCTGGCATTCCTGCCGGACCTTACCGAAGATATCAACACGACAATAGACTACACTGCGTCTAATGTTGCTGATCCTCAGTTGTCGACCGATCGCCGAGAACGTCGGGTCGCAACGCTAAAGAACCACGAGCACATCCTGATTGCTAGTGGTAACGCACTACCACCGCCAGCCTACGGCGCAGTATGCGATAATCGGACGTGTGCAGAGGCTTGGCACTGATTCTTGGAGAACGTGAACAGTGAAAGCCTGTCTGGCGTCTGGGGTGACAGCCAGGGATTCGCGACGTCCAGCTTCCGTAGACGTTGACCGTTACACGACATCCATGCCGGAGACAAATTGCACGAGCCTCGGTAGCCGGTA